CCCCCCCGGCCTCACTGTGCACCCCCAGGGCTGAGGTGGCCCTGAAGGTGGCTGTGCCCGCAGCGCTGCTGCTGCCCTACCCTGTCACCAACCTGCTGCTGGACCTGGTGCTCCTCTTCCTCTACCTCGGCATTGAAGCCACTCGCATCTTCTTTGGTGAGTCCTGGGTGGGGAGTGGCCTCCCTGCCTGGGGTGACATCAGGGCTCTGGGGTGACATCAGGGCTCTGCAGTCCCCTCAGGGACCGCTGGGACCTGGTGCTGTTTGTCATAGAATCCCAGACTGGTTTGGGTTGGGAGGGAACTTAAAGATCATCTCATTCCAGCCCCCCTGCATGGGCAGGGACACCTCCCACCAGCCCAGGTTGCTCCAAGCCCCATCCAACCTGCCCTTCAACACTGCCAGGGATGGGGCAGCCACAGCTTCCCTGGGCAACCTGGGCCAGGCTCTCACCACCCTCACACTCCACAATTCCCTCCTCATGTCCAACCTCAATCTCCCCTCCTCCAGTTTTCATCCATCCCCCTCATCTCATCCCTCCCTGCCCTTGTCCCAAGCCCCTCCCCAGCTTTCCTGGAGCCCCTTCAGGCACTGGAAGCTGCTCTAAGGTCTCCCTGGAGCCTTCTCCTCTCCAGGCTCAACACCCCAACCCTCCCAGGCTGGCTCCAGAGCAGAGCTGCTCCAGCCCAAGGATCATCTCTGTGCCCTCCTCTGGACTTGTCCCAACAGCTCCAGGTCCTTGTGTTGAGGACCCCAGAGCTGGACCCAGCTCTACAGGGGGATGTCACCAGAGTGGGTCAGAGGGGGACAATCCCTGCTGGGAGGGGACACAGTGACTTTCTGGGCTGCACATTGCCAGCTCACCTCAACCTCCCCATCACCCACCACCCCCGAGTCCTCCTCTCAGTCCCTTTGTGAATCCATCGTGTCCCTTTCACCACAGAGTCCCAGGGGTTGTCACCCCGAGTGTCACCCCCTTAACCCTGTGTCCCACAGGCTCCAAAGGCAACCTGTGCCAGAGGAAGGTGCCCCTCTCCATCAGCCTGGCCCTCACCATCCCCTCTGCCCTCATGGCAACCTATGCCCTGCTGTTCCAGACCTACTCCCTGCGCCTGGAGGCCTTCCTCAGCACCATCCTCCTCCTCTTCTACACCCTGGAGCTACTGCTGGGCCTCCTCGCCCTCCTCTCCTTCTCCAGGTAACACCTGGAGCCGGGTGACACCAACACGGGGACCTGCTGGCTTGCTTGGGCACTGCCATTGTCCCCTCCCTTTCCTTAGCGGTTCCCTAGGGAGGTGCCACACCAGGTGACAGGGAACTGGTTCCACCAGGGGTCACTGTCACCCCAGGAGCCACAGCCTCCCCCTTCTCCCCCCCATCCCCAGGGGTTCATGACACCCAGGTCAGTTCCAGGGATGGGGAATGAATTACTTTCCTTTTTTTTTTTTCCCCATCTATCACTTTCTCAGAATAATTCACTATTTTCCAATAAATATTTATTTTTACCTGGTGTCTGGGCATGAAAAGTCCTCCAGGAGCTTCCAACACCTCAGCCAACTTGGAGGGGACAAACACACACACACAGGAGTCCCCCAGGGTTGTCCCCAAGGTGCTGAGGGTTGGGGACAGCAGCCCCAGGGACACCAAAGTCCCCTAAAAGATCATGAAGGGGGGAAGAAAAGGTGCCAGAAAATAACCCAAGAGCCCCGGATAAAAGATCAACAAGGTCATTTTATTACACAATTTCCAACCTATCAGAAAGACAAACAAATCTAAAGTCACTGTGAGCAGGAGGGGCAGCACCTCGCTGGGTGGTTCCTCGGGGTGTGCTCTGCATTTCCCCCCCTCCCTCCTCCTCTATATTTGGAAAGAAACTAAAAATTGGTGTCATTAAGTAAAAAAAAAA